AACTGATTCCTTCAGTGGAAAGGACCCTGATTTGAAGGCAAGGGAAAATATGGTTTTGATTCCAACACAGCACAGCATCTAGTGCCTCATAATGTCTCAACACAAAAATGAATCTCCAGGTTTACTGCTTTGTACTCTCATGACCTTGGAAGAAGAGTTATCAAACAGCTGGGTTCCAGTGACTCTACTTATAAAACAAAGGGAATACTTGCCCTGACTATTGTAGGATTAATAGAAACAATAAATGTGCAAGTGTTTTATATTGTAAAAGTCCTTATATTTGTAACAGGACATTAAAAATGGTTACAAAGGAAGGCAAAATGCCATGTAAGGGTCCAGTTGGCCAAATTCCCATGAAGTGAGGGGTGGCAGGCTGGAGCTTCCGCTGATCCAGCTCTTCCTACCCTCTTGGGTCAGTCCCTCCTGTCCTTCAGCAGAACAATCCCTTACGAAGATATTCACTTTTATTAATGATAACATTCTCCTCCAGCACTGGCCACACAAGCCCATCACAGATTTTTTTTTCCGTTTTGTAAACTTGTGAAATATTAAATCGGCTGTGGGCGAATGTCATCTTTCTAATGGCCAGATATATGCTCAACATTTCAAAGAATCTTCAAGTAGGTGTCCGCTGAGTTTAAAGATGATCTCATCTTTTCAACTTCTGAGAGGTCTCCTTTTCTGTGCAATGACTCAGCCCCCCTCTTAGATGCATCTTAGACACCTGACTCCCAGGTGAGCGCACCCCCACATACACACTAGACAGACAGTTTGTACCCCACCCAAAAAAATTCTATGCTTAATCTTGTGGTAAGAAAGGATAAATTCAATAAATTCAAAAAAAAATTTTTACTAACAATATTCTTTTAATTTGGGGCAGTATTGGGGGTTTATATAGCCCAAGGTCTTCACAGTGAGCTATATCTGAATCCTTTTTATTTTTTTATTTTGAGGCAAGATGTCACTGTGTCACTAAATTGCCCAGCCTGGGCTCAGACTTGTATCCTCCTGCCTCAGTGTCACAGACTGCTGGATTACAGTTGTGTACTACCGTGCTTGTCTACTAACAAAATTCCTACATTTTTCACCAACTTCAAAGATACATAAGCAACTCTTTTCTTTTTCCCAGAAAACACCAGTGCTCAAAGCCTTTTGAATTATATCCAGAAACCCTGATTCCTACTCCATTCCCATTCTAGCTTTCTTGTCATGGCTTCATGGCATCTGAAAATATAGAACATTTTAATAATGAATGCTCTGGCTTGTCTGACCCACATCTCACCTGCCTCCCCGATCCCTTAGAATTCCATTCCATAGGCAGAGGAATATCAGTTTCAGAAAATAAGCTTCCTTGATATCTAACCTGAAGTTTCCTTCTGCAAGTATCATCTTATTACTTCAATGGACCGCGCTAAATTACTCCTCTCTTTCACTGCCAGTCTCCTTCCTCAGAGATTTGTAGATTGTTGCCATGGCTTTCCCTTCATCACCACTTAGCTCAGCCATATATATTTAATTTTTTTCATCTTTCATCATAAATCAGTCCCTTCAACTCTTAAATCAGCTCTCTGCTCTTCTCTGGATTAATTCCAACTCTCCCAGTTCACCTCCAATAACTGATATCCACCCTGGGAGTTCCAATTTTCTCTATATCTTTCCTTACTTTCTCTGTCCTCTCTAGAAATGGAATAGGAAGGACTGACAGATACGTGAGGTCAAACTTCCTGTGTATCGCATTGCATACATCTACCCTAAATTGCTCAGACCTTTTGTATATGTAAAAATCCCAAGTCATACACGCCCTTTCCTGCGTACATGGGGAAACAGGTTCTCCTATCCCACAACATCCTCTACACCTTTGCCTGGGGGGATGGCAGAAGCAGATTTCAAAACATCAAACCAGGATATAAACCAGAGGAATGGGATGCATCACCATTCATAGGCTCCCAGCTACGGCCTCTCTACTGATTCTCTGTTTATGTGCTCAGGGAACTGTTTTTGACTTTGAAATGATTATTCTATTTATCAATCCATGGAAATCTGAACAGGAAAACTGTATGCATGTCATTCAATATAAGACCCTCCAGGCATTCTTTGGTCCTTCCGGACAGCCCAACACCACAAGCAATACAATGGTCCTCCTTTGTTCTAACTGGGGGCTTTTCCACTTTGCCCCATCCTCAATCCTGCTCAAGTTTAAGAAGCTATTTCAGTCTGAGACAAATGGGCTGCTGTAGGCGCCTCTCTGCAAGATATGGCAGGAAGACCATTCCCTTCTTTGTTCCCCACAAATAGCCCCATAAGCATGGTTGTAGCCTTCTAGTAGACTGCCAGTCCCTTGGGCAGAAGCAGAACAAAATAGCTGAGTTCTGTCTACTTTTATTTTGTATAATGAAGATCCTATGCCATAGAAGAGTTTTAGACACTGTCTATAAATTAGAGCCAATATAAAGAGAATAAGCCAATCTCTCCAAAGATGATAAATAGCAAAATCAATCCAAGTGGCAGAATTTAGGCTTAAATTTCACATGAGAAAATGAGTGAAATGACAATAATAAATGTCGCCCCAAACATGGAACACACTATGGTAGGGTACGTCTGCTCCATGGGAAGTGCTGCAATGGAGACTCTATGTGAATGAGGCTGGAAGGCATTTGAAAAGCAAAAGGCCAGCCCTGCAAGGCCAGATGCCCAGCTGCAGATAGCATATGTCCTCAGAGAGAAGAGAAACCAGCCTCTTCCAAGTGTGATCACCACAATGGCTGAAGTGCTTTTCAGTGAGCTGTCTGTCTCTCTTGAGGTCATGGGGAGCTCATTCAGTTACACTTAGTGTCTTATTTGAGACCATCAATAACCATTTGATCCTAATCCTGTTGAAAAACGCTTGGCCAAAATTTCTGGCCTTTTAGTGGCAGAATCCTGGCTCTTCCTGAAAACAGCATTGCTAGATGTGTCAAATGCTGCATAAGAGCTTGGTCCAGTTGCCAAATGGACCACGCAACTAAGTAGGACTTGGGATGTTCATGATTTCCCAATAGTCAATAGCAAAGCAGTTCTTGGAGGAGACTCCTTTCTACATGAAGCTCCCCCACTCAGCAGCTTCAAATCCCCATGGAGAACTTGACTGGGGTAGTATATTTTTCAAATGCATTATATTGGTGATTGGTAGCTTCTTGAAACCTGCCCACATGTAACTGGTAAGTCTGGAGATATATTTTAAAAAGGACCCCTTTTGTCTGTCACCAGTATGTGACAACAGCACAGTGCTGGGTCCTATGTCATTTAACAAGAGCTGACGGGCAACTCTAGAAATGCTCAAAGATTTAGAAGTGGAAAAAAATCTGAATTTGCAGAGAAGTGATTTTTATGTTTATTACAAAAATGTTGGGTACTAAGAGAGAGTTTCATGTATAAACCACAGAAGCTACAATGACATTAAAACCCAGCTGTTTCTTACAAAACTATCCTTTGTAGAATGATGGTGATCGCTCTCCCATCTCTGTTCACTGAAGGCACCATCAAGCCCATCAGACCCCGTCTTTCGATGTGAACTATATAAATTCCAGCATGATCACAAGGGGTCACTTTACGTGCCAGTGCCACTAGTGCCAGTGCTGAAATATGCATCCAGGCTGTTTTCCTTTCCTTGGAGACTACACACTAGCATATTTTCTGTGCAATGACTGAGGAACATCTGCTCCTCAGTATTTCTGCTGCACCAGAGTCTTGAATGTGTGTGGGAGTATGTATGTGTTGGAACAAGCAAAGGAGATCCTTGTAGCTCTACAATGGACCTTTTTCAATACTTCCCATCCAATTAATATTAGACATTAGTAACCAGTGGAGCATAAGAATTTCATTTATTTCTGATGATGAGAATGATAGAAAAGAAGCTGGGTTTGCTCAATGGAATTACTGTAGGCTTTTTAAAAAACATGATTTCTCTTACGTGCTTCTCTCATTCATTTACATTGTATGTTTTATTCACAAGTTCTTCCCCAGCAGTCTTACAAGAGAAACATCCATTCAAAACCACCTGGTTTTCCAGTGAAAGGTTACTATGGGAAGAGTTAGAAATATGTGCCCCCAAGTCAGTGCCTGTAGCAGGAAACAAGGAAGTAAATGAAACAAAAACGTCACTTCAGGCATCTCCAGCAGGGAGATCTGCAGTGAAACAGGCCTGCCAGAGACTATCACCAAGAGCTGCTATTGCAGACATTCAAGCTGAGAAGAGGAGGCAAAAGCAGGAGGAGGAGAAGGGAAAGAAAACCAGAGAAGCCACCCATTGCTTCTCCCTGACTTGACAGTGATTTCCCCAAAGCAAGACCATTTTTACAACTTTCTCCCTTCTCACCACACCTCTTCCTGTCTCTTGTTCCATGAGTTCTCTGGGGGTCTCCCAAGACATCTAAGAAGAAGAATGAGAATCAGAGTGCAAAGAAGGCAGGAAGTGGGAGAAGGTAGCAGAATGGATCAACCAAAGAAGAGGCATGTCCTGGGCAACCCGGCACTTGGGAAGAAACTGCAATGGGGGGGGGGGGGCTCAATGTAAAGAGGAGTTCTATCTTCTCTGGGAAATTACACTGCATTTTCCAAATATGGGATGACCAGGAAGGGGGACAAGGGAGAGGGAGGAGGGCAAATGGTTTCATCTAGTACTGTACTCAGCTGGAATTTAAAAGTAATAGGAGCATTTCAGCCATTCTCGGAGCCAGAAAGGAAGGAATCCAATTTTAGTTTGGATCTGTTGTAATTCAGTAAAAGAAGAAATTCTGCCAAAAGTGAAAAACTTTTCCACAACTTGGTTACTAAAAAGAAAAGAAGGCCCTTGGAGAGTGATTGCGCTCAAGGACAAACGTCTAACTTTGGGAATGAAGAAAGGGGATTAGGAAGCTGAGGTTTGGGGAAAGGAGCGTGAGAGAAAGGACTGGTTAACAGTGGTCATAAATCCGTGTAAGTGAGAACGCAAATCCCAACGCGCTCTAGCGGGAGCTGCTCACCGGTCCCGTAGATCTGGAAGAGAAGGCGGGGCTGGGAGGCGCGGATCGCCGCGGACAGCCTTCCCTCTCTCCCTCCTTCCGACGCCTTCTTCTCGGGCATCAGGCGGATTCTCAGTCGCCCTTCGCCGTGGCGAATCCACCAGCTGAACAGCTCGCTGAGGTTGAACTGGAGCAGTCCCACAGCCGCCTCGTCTGGGGGCCCAAGGCAGCCCTCAAGGATGGCCTCCTCGCCCAGCTCCAGCACCAGCTGCTTGGCGCGCCTGAGTTTGCGCACCGAGCCGCCCTTCAGCACCCTGGACAGCGTCGGCGCCGCTGCTGGAGACGGCGAGGTGTCGCCCGCTGTCCCGGAGACCCCAGACGGCGACCCCAGCAGCCTGAGCAGCGGTGCGCAGTCGAGAGCCAGCCAGCCACTCTCTCCCGGGCGGCCAGTGTTCGGTTCCGAGGGAGATGGCGGCGGTAGCAGCAGGTCGCGGGCGTAGACGCGGAAGAGAGAGGGCACCACGAAGTCCACCGCCAGGCTCTTCCTCTGCAGGCGCGAGTAGCTGAGCGGCTCCCGGGGCTGCAGCGGCGGCCCTGCAGCCGGTGACCCCGCGCGATGGCCAGGCGAGGCCCCGGAGCCCGAGACTACCGCAGAGAGCAGTGGCAGGAGCCACAGGAGACGCAAGGCTGCCATCCCGCCAGAGCAGAGCTGTTTGAACTAGTCTCAAACTCTGGGGAGCCCAGCCTCACCCCCAGCTTTCCCCCAAACAGGAAGGGCTTCGAATAGTCCTTGATCCTGAAGGGCTCTTCCCACCTGTCCCTGGGGCACCGTGCGCAACCGAGTCTCTAGGTTTACCCTAGCTGCGGTCTGAATAAGACGGAGCCGGGAGCCAGGCGGGAGTCCAGAGACTGAAGCTGTCTGGACTCAACAGCTGGACCCCGCGCCTCTCGCTCGCCAAGCCAAGTGCCGCGCCCCCGTTTGTAGCTCGCTGTGCTCCCAGACTAGAAACTACTACGCTGGAAGGGAGGTGGCAACCGGGCGCTGTCCTCTCCTGCCCCCCGCGGCCGGAGCTGGGGTCTGTCTGTCCTCCAGGCAGCCTCCAATCCTTTGCAACTTTCCCGGCTGGAAGCCTCGGCCTTGAGCAGGTGTCTGCTGTCCTGGCCACCTCCTGCGGTTCCTTTCCGCTCCTCTGATCTCCTTGCCCGGGGTCTGGGTTAAGAATCGCGGGAGAGGATTGCTACCGCGCACGCCCCCAGGCGACTGCACCGCCCCCCGAACTTCTGGGCGTGAGTGCGAGTCCTGCCGCTGCGGTGGAGAGGCTCAGGCTGCAGCCGCCGGCGCGCAAGTTTGCGGCGTCCTCGCCGTGGCCCGCGCCTCGGCTCCCAGGAGTTCGCTCGCAGGCTCCAGGGCCGCCCCGGCGGCGGCCGCGGAGTGGAAGCATCCAGCGCAGGGAGGCCGGGATCTCGCCTTCGGCTCACCTATCTCCGCGCCGGTGGCTTCGGGTCTTCGGCCAGAAGGCGGTGGGAAGGTGTCTCGGTGCCCCGCGACACCCCGGATAGAGGCGGCAGAGGTCGTCAGCTGCCACCGCCGCCGCCGCTCCCGGAGCCGCTGGATCGCATCTGCCCGGGCGCCCGCCACTTGCAGCTGGAGGAGCCGCGAGCGCGCGCCGGGAGGGGGCGGGGCCGCGCGGGGGCGGGGCTCGCGCGCCAACTCCGCGCCGCGGCTCGGCCCCAGCCGGCCCGCCCCGCCCCGCCCGCGCCCGTCCACCAATGACGCGGCGAGGTCGGCCCCTATGCAAATCTGCAGAGGCCTCGGTATTCATTGAGAAAAGCACCGCTCGCGCCCCGCCCTCCCTCGGTAAATCCCTCTCCTTCCCTCCTTCCTGCCCTTCCTCCCCTTTCTCTAGATTCTTTGCCCTATTTAAACTGCTGGGTGCACAGAAGCGGGTTTTGAACAAACGGGAGAACTGGAGGAGGACTTTGCAATCAAGCCCTCATCCTAATTATTCGCTTAGCAGATTAAATTGCTCTGATTTTTAAGAATCAGGTTCCAGAATAAAAGGAGACAAGGCTAAGAAAGGAGGAACGGGGTGGCAACGCCACGCTGCCAATCCAAGAACCGCTTGTATTTGGTGCCCTGAGACACAAATTCCCGATTCCCGGTATTCGAGCGCATTTCTGGGAACCTTTCGATCCGGCCTTCCGCACACCAGGAAAAGTTGGCAGCGGGGAAGGGGAGAGAGGCGGGGATTGGCCACGGTCTTGCAGAGTTATTCTTCAGCTACGAAAAAATAACATTTCTGACAGCTGTTTGCCACTTCGTTTCTCAGAATGGTGCCTGAACATGCGCCCTCTCCTCCAGCGTCTGGAAGGCACATGCATGGTGCTGAGGATTGAACCCACACTCTCCTGGCATACTACACAAACACTTCCTGAGTGCACAACCCCAGGCCATTGTAAATATTTTTAATTCCAATTTTACTAATGAGGAAACTGAGTCACAGACAATGTGTTATTCCCCGGATCATACAGCCCTAATGTGACTCAAGGCCCTTACTCATAAGCTCTCCACTACTGCTTCATACCTATCAACAGGCCAAAGAGATACAGAGGCGACTGGAAGACACAATGATGGCATGATGAGACACTATTGCCAACCGTCTTGGGAGTGACAGTTCAGATGCCCAGGCTTTTTTTTTCCCCTCCTCATTTGTAAATTGAGGGCTCTGTGTCAGTTCTTCCTTTCCTTTCGACCTTAGAGAGCTCCCAGCACTGAATTCACATACTGCCTATGTGATACCAAGCAGCTCATTGAGTTTACAGATAAAACTACAGTCTTTGGTTCACACAAGTCCCTCAGTTTCTTCTTTGCAAAGGCTGATTGTCAGACCCTGTGTTAACTCTGGAGCTAGGTAAGATCCTCCTTGAGGCTCAAAGCATGACAGGTCACAGAGATGCATGCTCAGTCTCAGGCACAGCGGAGGGCGGAACATTCTTCCCTTAGTAATGTGCTCACAGCCCCACAGCAGGTGCAGCCTCCAGGGACTGATGCTCTTAGAAGCTGGGTTCTTACAGCTCTATGGTATCCCCTTTGGCTTGTGGAAGACCTAATAACAAAAGACATCGCTTCTCAGAATGACTTGCTTGTAGCTGTATGTTTGTCACAGTGCTTGCAACTCACAGACTGACAAGCATCTGGCCTCTGCCTGGCATTCAGAGAGGATGTACTGAGTTTACAAGTTTAAGGGCAAAGATTTACCTGACCCAAAGAGAAGAAATAATGCTCTTTTCTTGGTGAAGAATACAAGGGAGGAAAAAAAAAAAAGAAGGAGTTTGGAGGTTAGTACTTTCCTCATATGTGCACATATATTTTTGGATTTTCATCAGCTTTTGCCGGTGTGCACACTGATAAAAGAATAAATTTCTATTTAAAGTATGAAGAAGGCTAAATGCCAGCCCTTTTTACTCGTCACTCTATCCTTATGTCTCTAGGTCTTGTTCAAAGGCAAATTGACTCAGTAATTTGTCAATGACCACGGATCAGTTGCTGAAATCGGTGGCCACTAGGGGGCTGCAGAGACTTGAAATTTAATATGTGTTTCCAAGGTTTAACATCTTCCCTCAAAATGCTTTTGCATCTCATGGACACAGGGGTCTCAATTAACTCTCATGTCTTTATAAATTATCTCAGATTTGTCCCAAGAAAAGAAAAATGTCTTTCCCTATAGATTGAATTATATAAATCTCAAAAACAGCATTCCTTTTTTATTAGATGACTGTTAAGACAGAATTAACACTGGCAATCTGTCAAGTACTATACATATGCATCTATGAATGTGTATCTATGTGTGTGTCTCTCTGTGTGTTTCTGTGTCTGTGTGCATGTGTCACATCACACAGTGGCCTTTGGGGGAAGATATATATTATTATTTCCATTACAGAGACAAAACACCCAAGTTCAGAGGGGCAAAATAATTTGTCCAAGGTCAAACAGCAAGTAAATAACAGAGTTGGATCCAAACCAATGATCTTTTCTTCCAAAGATTACACACCCCACGGGGACAAGTTAGGCTTCTCATCACGCCTGCAGCTGTAATTTTGACACCTTTATCCCCTATCATCATCACCAACAGGAAAGGGGATAGAAAAGTGGAGTTAACAGCAAGAGGGGAAATACAGAAAGACAAAAAGGGAGACCTGTGGCAGTTAATTTGTCTCAGGCACTTACACTGGCTCAGTGTATTACAAAGTAATTTTCATGTAATAGCTCATTTAATATGCTAACACTATGAGGGGAAATAACATCTATTTTACCAATTACAAAGCTCAAGAAGAGTACCTCCTGGAGGCTGAGGTAGGAGAACTGTTGGAAGTTTGAGACCAGCCTGCGCTATAAAGTGAGCCTGAGACCAGCTTACACTACATAGCAGGATCTGGCAGGAGCAGCAGCAGCAGAGAAAGAGGAAGAAGAAGGAGGAGGAGAAGGAGGAGGAGGAGGAGGAGGAGGAGAAGGAGGAGGAGGAGGAGGAGGAGGAGGAGGAGGAGGAGGAGAAGAAGAAGAAGAAGAAGAAGAAGAAGAAGAAGACTCAGTAAAAAGGGTATATAAGCACCAAATTTGTTACCTGGTTTGAACCTAGATGCATGAGTAGGAAGCCCAGCATCCCCGAGTGACTTCACAAGAGAGGAAATGAATGGGGAGAGATGGACTGAGGTGGACAAAGAAGGACAGGAGAAGCTGAAAGCCCAAATTACCGCGAGACACAAGAGGTAGGAGTGGCTCACATAGACTGTGGAAGTCCTCAAGACAACCAAAATATATGGGGCTGCTCTGTATCATCTTGAAGATGATTCGGGAAGAGAAGTGAGGGTAAAGGAAGGTGAGAGAACACGTGCTGTGGTGAATTAACTGTGGGCAACCTGTAACACCCGCAGAACTGGGTCAGCGTGGTGCTGAGTGCGGAGGCCCACCCGAGGATTGTGGCCAACAGCATAAACAGAGAACCGGAGGGGAAGGTGGTGGGTTGTTAATTGTCCTGGAGAAGTCTGCAAGTTGGTTTCCTGATATGAACTCAACTGTACCCACTGTCAGAGAAGCCGAGGTCCTTTCTGTCACTGTGGTTCTCTGTGGGGGAGCTCTGGTCCTCACCTTGAGCATCCCTTCCTGGTTCCAGTGCAGATCCCTCAGCTGCTGGCACAGATCCTTCGTCCCGCTGGTGCAGACTTTCTAGCTTCCACCACTGACCCTTGGGCCTTCCCAGTGCAGATCTTGGAAGCTGACCTGCATGAAACATTATCACAGGCTGCAGGCTTCCAGGTGTGCAGGTGGAAGACATTGTCATGGGCTCTAGGTCTTCAGCTAGACTCGTGTAGGACACTGCCAAGGGATCCAGGCCCTCAGCTGGATTCTTTGAGTCTCTAGTGTGTGGCCAGATCTCCTGCATTTTTTTGTGTTTGACTCTTTGGGTGACTGTTATAAAATAATTCTATAAATTACATGTTCTATATAAAATCTTTTCCCTTATAAAATCTGACTGCCATATATGCCAAGAAAAAAAAAAAAAAAAAAAAAAACAGCCAGGAGTACACCCAGGACATCAAGTCTCTCTTCTGAAGATTTTCAATTTCTGGAAATGAACAAATAACTTAGGCAAGGGGATATTGAATACTTTATAAAGAATGCAATAATAAAAATAGCATTTCAAATCCAGGCAGTGTGATGTAAGGCAAAACATGCTCCACAAATGTAAAATCTGACTGGACCTATGTGATTAATGAAGTCAGGCACTAATTTGGTAACAAATATTTCTTCAGTATCTAATGCACACAGGGTGTTGCTCGAGTTCTAAGGATATTGCTCTGAATGAGATAACAGGAGTGTTTCCCATCCAGCAGCTCACCTTCCAGTGCGCTTACCATCTCCAGATAGGAGACGGACACTCAAGCATATAAGGTGATAAAGGAGAAGAGTAAACGCCGTGAGGAGAATTAAACAGGGCCCTGCAACAGCTGATGAGCACTTGGTGAAGGGGCTGGGGCTGTAACTGTAGCTTTAGAGTTGGTGAAGGACTCTCTCACCCAGGAAGTTACAATGTAGTTAAATCCTGATTAGAGAACAGGAGGGAATCTACAAAGATTTTAAGAGAGAATGTTCTAAGCAAAGGAATATCAGTGCAAATCCCAGAGATGACAATGGGCTTTCATATGCAGAGAACCAAGAGGTCATTGTGGCCTGGATATCATGAATGGAAGACATAAATCAGAGAGGCAGCTAGGGTCCAGCTCGTGTAGGGTTGCAAAGGTCACGGTAAAGAGTTTGACTTTTGTGCTGATTGCTATGAGAAGACACTGGATAGTTGGGTAGAAGAGTCTCATGCTCTGATTTACCCTTTAGATCCACAGTGTTCAATATAATAGTTGTTAACCTATCGGACCACTAAGCTAACAATGGCTAATCCAAACTCAAATGTGCTGTAAATGTAAAATGCACACAATAGTCCAAGTATTTAGTATGAAAAAATGACTAGTAATTTGTGTGTTGAGTACTTATTTAAATGAGAATATTTTGGATAAGCAAGGTTATCCAAGAAAGATATTATTACAATTAATTTTACTCTTTTAATAGAGTTCTTGGAAATGTAGTTCTGGTCTGCACAA